AAATTAACATTGGCCTACCGCTTGTACTAATAAAGTGCCAAGGGCCTAAGTGGTCACCTTAATATTAAAAAAATAAAAATAAAAATAACAGGAGTGGTGAATAAGTTTTGTAACTGAGTTTTTTTTTTATAGCAACTCATAACAGAAATTACGATACAAACTAACAACAAACAATTGTCACTGAAATAGCAAATATAGTTATAAAATTTTATAAATATACAGTAATTTATTTTATTTATATACTGTAAAATCTCAAAATAGCAGGCATGGGCATTATTTCGAATCTTGGCCCGAATTAAGTTTAATTCTGGCCAGAAATTATAATTTTACCCCTGCATGTTATTTTGAGATTTTATATTATTTAGATCCAGTTCCAGTAAGTACTGGAACTGGACTGGACCAGTCCAGTCCAGTAGCGGTCTATTGGACTAGTCCAGTCCAAGGACCAACACTGACTGTAGTATGTAGCTATAAGAGAGAACTAAATAATATATAAATTAGATCAAATGAATAATCATTATTATAGATGCAATACTGGTGCAATAATTATTTTTTTGCAATGACTATGTAAAATGGTCTCAATTTAGAGTTTGAAAATGCAATAATTATCTGAAAAAGATTCAATATTGATATTGCAGCAAGCATTTTAATCTGTGAAATTAGATAGGCTATGAGGAAGTGACGAATCAGAGATCAATGAAATAGGGATAATTCTTCTGTTATTATTGACTATTGCTTACAGTATTCCCAAAATTGTAATTAAGATTTAGAGATTGCTTTATAATTTATCATAATATAGCAAATTTATTAATTTTTTGTATTGATATTAGTGGAATTAAAATAAAAATCAAATTCTAGTTGATTATATCAATTTTCGATTAAACTATTATCAGATTTTTTCGAAAACTTTGTGTTGATTTTTTTAATAGTGATTTTTTCTTTATATTAATGACTAACTATAATTATTCCATTAAACATATCTATACCTAACTGAAATACATATAACATAACTTGCTTAATGTTACTAATTTTAATTACAAATATAAAACCCAATTCTTTAACAAATTTATGCTTACTATTCAATCACTTTTTTTCTACACTTGACAGTCCATATGCTTCATGCAAGCTATTAAACATTATTCAGATCTTTTTTGCAAATACCTGTCATCTTGATTACAAAACTGTATTAGCTGTTGAAATAATGCTTTTGAAAAAAAGCTTAAAAATTTTACAAGCCTACTTAACTATATACATACTATTCTGCTATTAGTCTATTAACTAGAATATGGCATTAGTAAAAGTCTCCTAGGAATGGGATTATATAGAATTAAATCTGCTAATCGCTAGTAAAGTGAAAGACCAACTTATTCTAAAAATTATTCAATCATAGATAATGTACTTAGCTACTTGTCATATAAGTAATTGCATTTTCATATAGGGGGTACTCTAAAATTAATATAAATAATTGTGTAATGATTTACATTACAGTTGTACCACATTAGCCAATCAAAAGGACTTTCCATCATGCTATTGGTAAAATAACAGCACAATATTAGGATACCCTGATATCTTACTTTTAGCACTCTGGGCTTAAAAGTAAAGATCAGATATCCCAATATTCTGCTGTTTATAGTGCAGAACATCTAAAAATAATTGCTTGTAATAAAAGTTAATAACTTAGAACTTAAAGAATATAGAAAAGAGCTTTTTTTAAAAAATTCAGTATTATTATGAAAAAATTAAAATTAATTATAAAAAATTTAACCAATCATATTTATTTTTATAAGTAATGATCTGCAAAATTTTGGGATGAATCAATAGAAATCAAGCAATTTTTTATAATAAAAGTTTTTCATAACTTTAAACAAGAATAACTTAACAAAAACTCAACAAAATTTAATAAAATTTTTTTAAAATAATTTTTACAAACCTGTAGAATTAATTTAAAAAAAAATTTATTAAATTTGATTAAGTTTTTGTTAAGTTATCCTTGTTTTAAGTTTTTTTTTAAAAAACTTATTAAAAAAATTTGCTTGATTTCTATTGACTCAACCCCATATGTTTTTCATAGGTAGAAGTTCGTCTGATTGGTTAATTTTTGTAGATCTATCCGTGATTATTAACCAATAAAACTCATAGCTTTATACAATATTGACATATTACATTAACGAAAAACTACAAGGAAACGAAAGCCATATAGGAAGAAACTACATCAAAAAATATATCCAAGAAGCATATTTATAAACATATAAAGAAAAAATAATAAATGATAGTTACTTTTAAACACTATATTTCACTATATATAAACCAATATCTTTAACAAATCGAATACGCTTCACGAACTAATTTAACTTAAAGCCTATCTTAAATATTAAAATCAGACCTCCTTATCAACAACTTTATTTCGTCTAAAAACCCTACTGAACAGTGTTTATTTTTCACAGTGTGCGCATGTGCGCGCACTGTGCGGGTCCAACCAAATTTTGAAATAAAGCAATTTGATTGGATCCGCACAGTGTGCGCACATGCGCACACTGTGAAAAATAAACACTGCTACTGAAGATCTTTTAATATTAAAAAAATATATATAGTTATTTCCGTTAGAAACCATTCTATTTTAAAATTCAGAAAAGACTTTTTTTTTCTTTACCTAGTTCAAAAAGTCGTTATTAAGTGAACCCCTTTAAATTAGAGATTATCAGAGATTATTTTTGAAGTTAGTTTTCTAGCATCTCTTTGAAGCTAGAAACAATATTTGTTAGGGGTAGTTGCTTGTGTAATATTACGCTCTTAAAAAAAAAGTACCCTAAACCATATAAATAAGTTGCCCGGACAGTTGATTTGCATTAGCCAATCAGCCGAATTTTTGCCTATACTGATACTGATCTACCTTCCAATATCTTACTAATATGCTGCCAAATATACAGAAGGTGTTTTATTATTTGGCAGATTTATGGCAGACTATCAAATACGTATCAGGAAACTTGTCTCCCGGTATGTACCCGATATTCATTGATTCAACCTGTGTGATTTGTATCCCACGTTCAGGTTCTTAAATATTTTCACTGGTCCTATCATATTTGGTTTTTCTTTGTTCAACACGCGATCTTCAGAATAATCAACATATGCTAAATAGTGAAATCATATTAAATTAGTCTTGCAATATACACCAATACTTAATATTTGATATAATACTAAGGATAGATATGTATTTTCATTTGTATCTTGAGATCTTGCAATTAACTAAAAATAATACAAAACATAAACTTAGTGATATTTCCAGGTTTGGTCCTTTCATATAATGCCGATAATCATGATCTGCAGAGGTCATACCCTTGTTCCAAACGCTCAAACGAGTTTAAACGATACAATATGATCTGAGATTTAAATTACATATTTCTAAAAATATAAGTTCATAAATAATATCTACAACTGTTCAAAGCCTTGCGTACATGTTAATATTACTTGCTAATTTAAATAATTTAAATCTATTCAAACATTTAAAATTAGAATTTTTGGATTGACAAATTTAATTTAAATTTCAAATTGAAAAACTTCTATATTCAGGGATAACGACGATGCAAAATAAAAAATAATAGAATTTAATAAAAACTTGAATAAATTATATTTTTAATCCGAGCCATTTCAATAGGTTGTAATTTTATATAAATTTATAGTTAATATACGTATGATAAAGTTTGTTTTTTTTTATAATTAAATTATTAATTTTTTTCAAAATTATTGATCATAATGACATCAAAATTTCAACCACGTAATAAAATTGCACTTCTTGTTGCATTAATAATTCTTTATTTGTTGCCTTCAGAATCATATTTAATTCCACGAGCAGAAGGTGAAGTAAAAGATGGATGCACAAGATTAGCCAAACAAATTTTTTCTTCACCCAGTTATGATAATGTTAAAGCGTGTTTTGAAGGAATCAAGTTCGATGCTAAACGAGCAAACCAAGTAAATATTATTATTACAGTTCTCAATTTCGAAATATTATTTGTTGATTTAGCATGTATACGTAGCAGATAGTGCATACTATATTTATTAATACGTAATATGAATTATTTTCTTAAAAGATGATCGATGTTGCAGAAGCAATTTTGCTAAACTTCTATAGTCTTGCTGACCAAGCCAATGAAAACCCCCAAAATGGTTTTAGTTTTAAACCTACAGATTTGAAGAAAGAACTGCACTCGTTACGTAATAAAAAATTTAAATCTGATTTTGAATTCATGGTATGTATATTTATGCTATACAATTAAAAGAATTAATTAACTCCTTATATAAAGCTGTGATATGATATTTTTATGCATGTTATTTTAAAATTTTCATTAATAAAACTTATTATACTTGATGTACTGTACGGTGCAATAAAATACGCCTCATTTCACTCTGGATGATAGCAAAAAGCTAATACGTAATCCTTTAAATAATTAGATGACTTTAAGAAGCCTAATTGCACAATTAAAAGACGCTCATACGCATTTGGAAATTGACTGTTATAACAAAGTTCTATTTTCTCAACCTTTAACTATGTATTCAGTTGTCACACCTAATAATCAGCAGGTAAGTATACAGTAATTTTATATACGAATAAGACTAAATATTTTTGAAAGCCAATTTATAATGTATTTTGTACAATATCAGAAAATCAAGGTATTTAACTTTTTAGGTTATAAAATAATTAACATGTAAACAAAATACCATTATTTTAATTAGTTTTACATTAATTAGATCATGGACGACTCTTTAGACTCATCAAATAACAATTGTGAAGTGACAGAAATAAATGGTCAGAATGCACTAGAAACGATTAAAAAATTTGCTAAAGAGCAAGTATCAGATTCAAGAGATCTGGGTGTACGATTTAATCAAGCATTGGCTTCCCTTACTATACGGTTTGGTGAATGGTCTGTTGCTGAGGGGACTAACCAATTTGCACATAGGTTTGATTTACCTGACACCCCTAATATCAGTTATACATTACTTTGTTCTGGAGAAAAACGCCATTTAGTCAGAAAATGGGATATAATCTTCCAGGGTGGCAGTACTGATTTTAATGATACCAAAAGTTATTATGAACAAAATTGTTTACCTAATTCATTTCAGTCCGCAAAAAATAATAAATCATTAAGATTAATCCCAATATCGACTTTTAATCAGACTACTACATCTCTGAGTAATAAAAATGTCGCTACATCTCAAAGTGATGATCAGGCTACTACATCTCAACCTAAACCAGTTCTATATGCAAAAAATGCACATTTTTACTTGGTCGGTAATATCGGCGTTGCCCAAATTACTAGTGTAAATTTTGGATTTGATACATTGCGTGATATACGGAAAGGTTTTCAATTATTATTCAAAAAAAAGGCTAAAAAGGTATAAAAATTTAATAAAGCAATATTATACTATTTTCATTTCATAATTCAAAATTTTATTTTTTATTCCTTAACAGCTTGTTATAGATTTATCAAATAATTCAGGTGGTATTATTAATACAGCCCAAGTCATATGTTTTCTTCTGATTCCACCAAATAATATTAGCTTTTTTCCAAATGATATGAAGATTACAAACATTACCAAACCTTTGATAGGACATGACAACTATTTCGATCCAAACACGATGTCTTCATTTCCTTCAGGAAAAAATTTTTCTAGTATAGAAGATTTTATAGGCAATAATTATATCAAAAGAGGCGGTAAAACTTCAAGATATTCTAACAAATTCGACTATAAACTTGAAAAAAATGAATTAAACCTAATTAAAAATAATAAGGAATATCCGTGGACAAAAAATAATACTATAATTTTAACTAATGGATATTGTGGGTCAGCCTGTGCGCTAATATCTCAATATTTAGCTGAGATAGGCCAATTTCCTACTGTCACGGTTGGTGGTTTTTATAATAAATCTTTATCATTTGCTTCTTTTACCGGTGGAGAAGTTTTTGGTTATGGTGGTAATAGTGATAAATTTAAGGATATCCCTAGCTTTCCAGCATCGGGTGAACTTCAATTTACTGCAAGCGAGTCTTATAGCATTCTCAAAAAAAATGAAGTTTTAGACTATTCATATAGACCTTCTGAATATAGACTTTATTACGATGATAAAAGTGCGAGAGATCCTAGCTTATTGTGGAGTAAGGCCGCTGATTTTTTAAAAATTGAAAGCTAGCGGATAACTTATGGTGGTACTATGGAAATTTTTATCATATAAAGTAGCAAATAGATGATGAAATAACTATAAAATATGAATTGAATTTTTAAAAGATTCATTTTTAATTTTAGAAAGTATTAAAAGTATTCTTTTTACTCTTAGCACAAATTAGCTTACGTATTATTAATTACTTTTCTACATATAATAATCGTTATTATTATAATTGAGTGAATTATTTTTCTGCAACACATAATAATAATAATAAACGGTTCTAATTAAATTTCGCCTAAGAAAGCATCTTTTACATTCTTGTAAAATTTCAATAAAATTCTAACATTTTACCATGTAATAACACAAAAACCGATGATAGTAAAATAAGACGCGCCGAAACAGGCAACTTGAGTTGACGAAATGACGAAACTCATTATGAACGTTAGAAAGATAAAATTGATCATAAATTTCATATGTAATATATGGCATCGGGCATAATACGTTAATGTAAGAAAAAATTAAAAATATGATTTTCTCTAGGAATCATGCGAAGTTTGGCACATTTATCCGATGATTTTCATTAATCACTCAGATGTATCCGATATCTGTTGAATGAATTTTTATAAGCTTGTTAACTTTTATGGAGTTGAATTTTTTATAACGAACTGACGATTTAATAATAATAATAATAATAATAATAATAATAATAATAATAATAATAATAATAATAATAAAGATCGTCACTGATTAAAAATTTATTATGTTTTTATACGAACGGGTAGACTTTATTATGATAAGATAACAGTAATTTTGAAAAATTTTTCAGAATATCCAGAGGTTATCATTAAGGAGTTTATTAAAGGAGGGCCAACTGTATTTTATATTTTATTGGTCAAATCAATTTTGTTAAAAGTTTCGTCAATCGTAATAGTTCATTAGTTTCACCAATCGTCAAAGATTCGTCTGACGAAACCATTGGCGAAACCATTTTCGTCATCACAAAAAAAGTTTCGTCACCCGTCTTTAATTAATGCACGATTTAAGCTTCAATAACTATATAAAATTTTTGGATTCAAGATATTAAAACGTTTATAAACGTTGTAGTACTTTACGTGTATCACGTGAATTAATTTACAAATTCAAATTAATCAGATCACGTTGCTACGTACAGTACGTACAAGGTTTTATTTGTGCATCTCCATAGGTGTATTTTATTTTAGATCTGAAATCAAATATTGAATTTGTGAAATCACAAAAATCTGATCTGGTGTTGCTCAGAAGAATTACCAGTATTTTTTTTCCTTGACAAAATTCTGATTGATCACGGCGCGTTATTTTTCAATCTCTATCGATTAAAAAATAACTTTGGTAAATTTTTAATACTACTAGTCATTAAACTTATTGTATTCGATGATTCAGCAATTGGTATATTCAGTAATTATAACTAACTTCATATTGATACAAATTAGATGCAAAATAATATCTAACTTTTGAATTTATGAAACATATAATTGTTCATAAAAAAATAAAAATTAAAATTTTTCTTCAATAATAACTATGGAGTAATAAAGATACAATTTTCTAGATCATGAAATCTTCCGTTCTGAAAACTTACGTTATGATAGGTGTTTAGACGTACTAAAAAATCAATCTTTCAAGTAACTCAAAATTATATATTGAGTTACTTAGACCTTTAAGTTTTTGTTTTTGGTATGCCCGAAGAGCTTCATTCAATTAAGCAAGTCGAAAATCATTTAGGAACACAATTGTTCTGTCGAAACTAATTGAAATGCGTATCAAGCATTGATCGATATAAAATCTAGAAAATTCGCGTGATACTTCATATCTCAAAACAGTGGCTGAAGCAAAGATGCAATACAGAAATATAAAATATATATTACCAAATGAACTTTCAAAAAGTTCCACAAATTCACCTATTTTTTTTTTTTAAACAAAAGCTTATAAGATTATTCAATTCTCAAGAACAGAAAAATTTGAAGATTGTAAACATTTTCTTTAAAATTTTTTTTTGCTTTAACATATGATTAAAGTGTTGTTTATATAACATCAATGACTAACCTAGGGATGATAATAAACCAGTTTAACTATGTTTTGTGTTCTTTAATTGAAACAATAAAACGGTTAGACTAAATAATTATTTGCGATTGGTTAATTTCTGTACCAGAAAGTTCCATAATATCGTTTCGAGAAACAGTAATACGAAAAAATTTATAATATTTATTAAAAGTATTTATAATTGTAAGATCTTGCATTAAAAGATGCAATAATGTTAATTTCAAATTTAATCTTTTACTAACGTTAAATAAATTAATTTTATAATCATATTGAATTGCGTCATAATTTTACGATATCAATGATTAAGTCAAATGTTTTAAAATGTATTAAAAACTATTTTAACCAAACAATCATGTTTTTTAAGATCATGTTTTAAATCATTTGCCATCCTTAGACTAACCTCAGATTTCTTGACGGTACTCACGTTTGGCCTAATTTTTATTATTTTATTAACAAGGAATGCATATAATTTAGGATTAATATATTTGTAACCATAGGTTACAATAAAATTTTGTAAGATCAGGTGTAACATAATTATCAAAACAATTTTTTTATAAAAATAAAACCTTGCAATTAAGGTTAGAGTTAGGGTAAGGCTAGGAATGGAAAAGAGCATATTTTATATTAAAATTTAGCAAGGAATTTTTTTTGTTAAAACGTAGAAGATAGTTTCATAGTCAAAATTTTGAGTTATTAATGATTT